TTCTTTCAGATACCATAAAACAGAATTAACAACTGATTATAATAATCTTCAAGATTTCTGTAGCAGTAAATATTTTACGACCGATTTTATTATCTTCAAATTAAAACTTACAATGATTAACTGGCGGAAACCAGATTTCCTTTTTAAAAATGACTTCATTTTAAAAATAAATCAATGATGTTCAATTGTTTTATGAAATCAAATTCGAAGTGTTACCCTCGCACTGTCACTCGCATTACATAAAATTACGATCGCACTGATTGCCTTTTACGAGTGTCCTCAATGGCATAAGTTATTGCATCCAGTGCAAATAACTGCATTGACCAGTATTGCACCCTTATGACTGGTAATTACGTAATCTATCACTAAATTTACAGCTGTTCGTTCGTTCGTTTCATCCGAAAGACGTCCATTTGCTGGACAAAGGCCTCCCCCAAGGATTTCCACAAAGACCGGTCCTGCGCCGCTCGCATCCAGGCACCTCATCTCAGGCATTTACAGCTGTACCTCCAATCAACAACAAAAACAAAAGCAACGACGTAACGAAAAAGCTTTTCATCGTCATATTTCAAACATTAGAGATGTTTGAGTATTGTCTCATCTACTTGTATATTAGTAAAAAAAAATGTGTTAGGGTCCGCTGACAAAAATAAAACCCATAAAATCGTGATCCAAAGTAAAAGAGCGCAAGGAAAGAATAAGCCAATTTCGGAATAAAACGATATGTTTATGTGACAATTTACCTCACCACTGCAGCACGGTCGGCAAATCAAAGCTCATTCTTTGGAAAACGATTTAAATCAAAATTGTTACCCACATGATCATCGGAAGTTCATTCACTTCAAAGTCATTTAATAATACACTCTCGTATGAAGCCTCGACTGACCTCGACATGGTTCTCCACTTTTACGGATCGCCCGCGGGAAGGTCACGGGGGCCTTGGCTTTATCTTCAAGCACTGATTTTACATGAAATCTATACTAATAAAGCTGATGAGTTTGTTTGCTTGAACGCACTACCTCAGGAACTACTGGTCCGATTTGAAAAATAATATGTTTGTGTTGGATAGCTCATTTATCGAGGAAGGGTACAGAATCACATAGCCACGATAGCCGAACGGTGAAGAGGTCGGAGTGGCCCACTCGAGATCCGAGGAACGCGGGTTCTAATCCCACCGCCGCTCGACTATTGTGGTGAGCCCCCTAGTAACACAAGCTTATTTAGCTTAACACGAGGGGCTAACGGGACTATAAGTAATTTGTGCAATACAAATTGCTAATAATATTTAAAAAAAAAAGAAAAATAGGGGCGGAGCAGTAAAAAAATGTTGCAAAAACGGGAAATATTATTGAAACGATTTTCACGCGTACGAAGTCGCGGGCGCAGCTAGTACTCATTAAAAGTTAATCGCGTCAAAAATACACCTCGACATATTATTTTCGCTTGATGAATGATGACTTTCAAGGCGTCTAAACACATCATTCAGCATGAGAGACGTTTACAAATTGTTTTTTTCATTTGAACTAAAAAATTCGAAGATAAATAATGAGGCGTATTTATGTGAACGGAAGCACTAATATTTGTAGATATTATTTAGAACTATTTAAATTTTAAAACTACACTAGACAGAAGCTCACAAATATGTCGGGTTCTAAATTCATACAGACACAGTTGCCTATACTATGCAGAGACTGAACATAAGCCAAGTAATACCAAATTAGGCTCTATTTCAACCAGATATAGAGTCGAAAGTGCCACTTAACGTTTGTATGTAGAGCTGATTGCTTTATGGTTTGAAAAGAAGATTAGTAACTAATTTCTGCACTAGATATTCCGTTAACCCCTCTAGCAAATCCAAATAATATGGTTGTGTTAAGAGTAGTTCGCCACAACTTAGAAAGTATTATTTTACTATTATTGTGACCACAGCAAGGCTGATTACTAAACTTGTTAGGTTCATTGCAACCAATATTCCTGTGAAATAGTTAGCATAGCACCTGACACTTAGCACGTAAGCACCTAGCTCAGTATGCAATACTGCGTGCTACGATCTAGCCCTTCACTAAGCATAGTGCCAAGTGCCAAGCTTAACTCTTAGCGGTTATCTTTAAACCTAAACATTCTTGTGTTGTTTGGGAAGAGTTGGAAAACACTATGACTGACTAATGTCATGTCATGTAATATTCTTCAAATGATAAAACACAAATTCACATTGTATATTTATATGCTAGTACTATTTTCTCCTAATTCTACCCTCTTTCTGTGTCGTAAACACATCAGCGGATTTAGTTGCCAGTTTAAAAACATACGCTGCACAAACCGAGCTTAAACCGTAGTTTATTAATCTCCCAAAATTTTTCAGTGAAAGGCGAATGAAGAAATATGCGGCACCAAGTGGCCCCAAGCCAATTTAGTGTCACATATTACGCTATTCAGAGTTATAAACAGTCAAAATGTCATCTTAAAGTGCAGTTATTTGGGACAGACAGACAAATTCAATGAATTCTTGAAAACATTTACATTTTCCGCTTGGAAATTCTCAGCGTTAAAGGCGAATATTTTAGTATTATTTTGGTTTGTTTCGAATTTAATCAGGAGTATCGGTTTCAACAACAAGCTTTGAGATGAGAGTTTAAATTAAATCTTTCTGCCGTGAAAATATTATGGCAATTTTTTCTCTGAAAGTAATTATATTTCTTACTGATTCCTTTTTGACGTTCTAAAAACAAGTCCATCCACGAGCAATATAATTAAATTCACAACAATTTAGCTTGTTTACTTGATTGAATCAGAAATACTGTTTAGGTACTTTTTGAATGATGAAATAAATTAGTAAAATTACTGAAGTAGTAAGTATCATCTGTTGTGTTAAAACTATCATGACATAATTAGTGCATAATAAAGTTAAAGATTGCCTCAGCTTTCAGCATTTCAGGAATGTCTGGCACAAAACAATACGTTCTTTGAAAAACTGTATAAATTAGAAGTGAATTCCTTATGTTGACCACAGTTGAAGGTTGATCACCGAAGGTTCACATCGCAAAAGGGGCAAACGAGCACAGCAAGAGATAATAATAGTGCAATTTAAATGATCAATTGCATCCCTGATTAATAGCATATTTAAATCATCTAAGTGTGTCTACTTACTTTCATTGGCATTACCAACGAAGTAGCTAACGATATATTATTATCTTCTATTGATTGCAAGATCTCTTACCACAAAGTAATCTAATCATCAAGTGCAGTTTAAAGCATTCATTAATTCGCCTGTATTGTAATTAACTATAACAACCTGCAATATCTTCGGTAAATGTGAAACAAGCACTCAACCTGGGATCAACAATCGTTCAGCGAAGAGATATTATGAGTAAATGCTTTACAGAATGTGGCTTCTGACTTGTCGATCTTTGTGGCACGGAGGTGTTCGATGACTTAGTTATTTTAGTTTATTATGGCCAAAGCACTCATTACCATACTTCCTATTGTTGTTGTGACACGTTGAATGTAACGAAACTGACAGTTTGTGTGGTTCATGCATAATGGAATATTTGAATTCATTAGGATTTGTTTGATTGTGAATTTTTTGCTTGTACCTAACATTCATACTTTGCTTATCCTTAAAAAAATAATACAATAATTTACTAATCAGAAACATGACTAGCTGTTTGCAAGAAACCGCTTGTCTTGTCACTATTTTAACTACGGAACTATCACTCAAAAAATCTCGTTTTCATAGTAAAATGGAAATAAAATATAGGAACCCAAAGGAGCAGAAGAGGAATAGCCAAAGATAAGAGAGACTTCTCTTTGGAGAAGGCTTATGTCTGGCTGTTAAGTGTTAACAGAATAACACATTATGCTAGATGATGAAGTACAAATTAGCAGTTCTCAAAAGATACTCTTTAGGAAAAACCCCGAGCTGTGAACAGTTAATTGATAACTCCTTTGTTTGTTAATCTGTTATCTACCTACCCTGCTATCCCATCACCAACGAAACTTTTAAAAGGCGCGTGCGGCGATTGAACTATGCAAATGGCAAACCTCAGTAAATCTACCAAATCGCCAAGCCCGCATAGATAATGAACCAAGATAGCAAGAAGCAGTGCTGATTAATCACAAAGTACCTAGGTTCTGGAATCCAAGAAATTCCATCGAATGGGATAAACGTATGGTTTGTCTGGAAGTAACAAAGATACTTACATTGGACATTAAAAGAGTCACCTCTTGGTTAAATTTTCGAGTAGGTGTCTTTATTTTTTCTCTCTCATTGTTGTGAGATTGTAATTGCAACAAGATTGAAGACATTTTTGTTATAATTTACAACATAGGAATTTGCGTTTTTCAAACAACATTCACCCTAAACTTATTGCCCATGTTAGTCATTCTGCGTTTGTTCTATAATATTTCCCCCATGCCAACAACTTCCATCGTTTAACACCTAGTAATTCTCGTAAGTCTGTCAACACATTAGCAAATTAGTTCCTCACCCAGCACAAAGTTTTGGATCACCATTTTAATCAAAGGTAGGTGGAGGAATGGTGGATACTTTGTCATCAACATTAATATTTTATAGATGAAAGATTTGGTTGTTTGTTTGTACAGAATAGTCTCCAAGACTACTGGGCCGATTTGAATAATTCTTTCACAATTAGAATTCTACATTATTTCATAACATATTTTCAGAACATAGGCGGCATGGAGTTTGCCGAGTCAGCTAGTTTTAGTTGTATTTAAGAGCATTTGATCGGATCGGATTTTTAGCATATCAAAATTGACTATAGAAATTAGCATTTCGCATAAAGGTGAGTGTAGACTAGAGCATTTATTTGTAACAGAACAACGAGCCGCTCTAAGAAAATGTTCAAGTGTCTGTGTCCCCTTTCACGAACTAAACGTCGTACATTTTACCCGTATTGTACCATTTGTGAGAACGTTACGTTACATAGAAATGGTCTAGTCTTAGGTACTCATTTTAATAAAATAATAAAAATGTCATTTACCTGTCTGTCACCGGGGTGAACCCGGCATTCTTCTTGGCCGTTACGTTCTCCACTTTTACCACTGCACTGAACCACCAGATACAAATCACTAATTATCGATAACTCGGAACATTTATATACCTACTTTACATAAGTCGATGCATTTCGATTCGTTCAGCTCCTCGTGACTCTAGACCTGCAACAAAAGAATACATTTTAATATCGAACAAAAGATTTAATTACTTCGATTATATCGATGTTATTCTTTGCAACCTACGTCGTTCGCTCGATAACAAATCGATACTTCGTTGTTTTGGTTCCGAAAATTTTAACGCGAAGTCATCAGTTTTCATATTTTATTGGTCTGCCACATAACATTTTGCAAATTTAATTAGCTTTATCGCGAGATTAAATGGCGTTTATTAATTAATTTTGATATCGGCAGGACTTCGAAAGATTCCGATGAGAGTGTGATTGTGAATCCTAATAAATAACGAGATTTGCAATGTAATGATTACTTATTAAATGTTTTTTGTAGACCCATTTCTTGTCTTCTTTTTGCCCGATTTCTGCTGTGACTTTGCAAATTTAGTATACCTGCTGTGATGTATTCTCAGAAAAGTCTGCACTAAAACCAACTTCAATACAGCTACATAGGTAGGTACCTATAAACATTTTCGTAATGACTGAGATTATTTAGTTCTATAGATTCTGCGGTTCCTTTCAATCAACGAGAATGCATTTGCAATATTGTGATCCTCTAAAATCTGCAGAGCCGACTGGGAAACAATGGCTGCGGTTGTATCAATACGGGTTATAAAGCAGAACTAATACGAGTGTTCATGAATCATTGGCGTTAGAATTATCGCACATTTGAGCCACATAATACGTCGGTTTAATAGGATTTAGGTAGGCATTATGTAAATTAAATTTGGGTAAATGCTCGCGTACGCGTGACCAAAGATCCACTCTATAATTATTTTACACGCGCATTTTAGTCCCTATTAAGGTCCTTTCCGTTTTTTGGTCCTTCCAGTATCTAAATGGACTCAAAAATAGAACATAAACGTAAAGTTTTACATTACACCTTAAGGTACAATGACATTAATTACACACCTTTTCCTAATTTACTAGCTTTTCTCATGTAAAATGAAATAGTACAACTTATATGTACGTGTAAATCAGCCTTAAAAGACTATTACATACTGTTAATTAAAACTTATTTACAGAGTTGCACCTTGTTTCTTTCAATATCAGACGCATTGTTTGTGGCCGCAATGTGAGAGGAGCCTCGTTTGTACCCTTGCCCTTGGACGCAAAATGCACGGTCATTATAAACTGCGGTCTTGGGTTACGACTGCAGTCATTCAAAACCAAACCCCAAGCGAATATAAAGCTTCAGCTCACTCACATTAGCTTCAAAATCCCTCGCCCGCCACGCGGTGATGCAGAGTTAGCTAGGCTGTCTGAATGTCAAACCAATATTCGGCAACGAGAGCTGCACCAGCCCAATAAAAAAATAATTTATTCGTGTCTGAGTAAATAAGATGATGGCGCGAATTGAAAATTTGGCGGGAAACGATTAAGGCGGGGACAGACTATCGTCTTTTTCACATGCAAAAAACCATAACATTTTTTCTTTAGCACTCGTCTTGCGTTCTAAAATTATTTTGGTCGTTTTAAAACTTGATTGGAAAAAAGAAATAGCCTGTGTCTGACTTTATCACGAATATTTATTTCGGCTCATTCCCGAATTGTTAGTTTATGACGGCGCAAATAAAAATCTTATTTGGAAAGACAATAAAACACACTAACGTATTTTATTGACGTAGTTGGGCGGGATCGGACGTTTAATAAACTTAAAATATAAAAAGGCGTCATGAAAAGAAAGCAAAAGAAGTCTAGAGGTCTTTGTTAAAGACTACTTTTTTGGTCTATAATGTCTTTATTAAAATGTCTGAATCGTGGAAATAACTTACATCTGGGGGCACGGCAGTGCCCCCACCAAGTCGAGCAAAAAAGCGGCACGGCCGTACCATCCTTTTCTCGAAGCAATTCAGGCCATTTTCGACCGCCTGTAACTTCGTTGTGGATAAAACTAGAAGGCTGAATTTTCATTAGCTATGCAGGCATTGTAAAGACACGGTATATTTAAAATTTCATTCAATTTGAACCAGTAGTTTAAGAATTATAACGGGTCAAAGTTACTTAATTTTGTCACTCACTGACTGACTCACTCACTCACTGACTCACTCACTGACTCACCGATCATCAAAACTCTAAGGCACTTCTAGCAGACCTAGAAGCTTCAAATTTGGAATATAAGTAGTGTTTGGTGTATGAATCAAGGAAAAACTAAAATATTTGGGGGCACGGTAGTGCAACCGCCAAGTCGAGTAAAATTTTTCAATTTCGGTCCAGTTTTCTAGATACATAACTGCTGTCTACAAAATACAAAAAGAAATGAGATCCCATCAAAAACAATACTTGTCAAAAAAACCAAGTCTCGCAACTCAGTTGTTCTACGGTAAAAAGTTGTGAGATCCATGTAATACCAAGTCCAGGCCAGGAAATCTTTAACGTTTTACATAAATATATTGACTTGGTCATCGCATGAAAACACGTGTAAATAAAATTATTTAGTGCGATGGCCAAGTCAATAATTTATGTAAAACGTTAAAGATTTCCTGGCCTGGACTTGGTATTACATGGATCTCACAACTTTTTACCGTAGAACAACTGAGTTGCGAGACTTGGTTTTTTTGACAAGTATTGTTTTTGATGGGATTAATCTATTAGTACCTATTTTATTGAATTGTCGAGACTGAAAATTTACTTGAATCTCATTGGTTTTTATACTAAGTTTGCCTGTGTTAAGAAAGGGAGTGTGCTACATTACAAATAATGAAGTTAAACAGCAAAATGGCCAGCTGATTTTCATTGCCACAAAAAGTGTACAGAATATAATATCTGCGTTAAATAAGTAATTCTTCACATTTTATGGCAATATTCAAATTAACGCTTGATGAAAATAAAAAAATACCTAAGTAGGTATAACTTTTCACGAAAACTAAAACATTTATGGGAAAAATAGTCAGGGGTAATCTGATACTTCGAATAAGAACCTTGGGCAAAATCCAAACTATACGTTATTCCATTTGCATGTTAATTGAAAGAATAAGCCATGAAGATAAACCGATACAAGAATTCGGGGCACGAATGCCTGTCCGGGGTGTTTTAGTGCACTAGTCGTTATTCACATGTTTTGTTTTTGTTTGATAAAGTTTTATGGCGATAGGTGCACGTAAAATAACGTCTTACTTTTGTTGTTAGCAACAAAAGTGGTTTGATTAAAAATGCTCGTTTTGATTAGCATGTGCTGATAAGAATCTTTTTAAATAAAGTTATTTGAATTTACATACTATTATTAAAACTTCATTGAACACGTTATGGGAACGTGTTATACCTACAAAATGTTACTAAGCTTAGGTAAATGTGGTAGCAGCGTTTATTTCGATGGAAAAGTAGGAAAATGTCTGAATTATTAGTATGTTCAAAAAAAATATTAAATACATAATAGAATAGATTTATGAAATATACTCATGTATTTATTCAAGCCTTTTCTACCACTAGTTCAACTTAGCTAGTTTTTCAATTTATAATATTTTTCTTCCCCTGTTTACGAAGCCAAATTAAAAAATAAATTGGTAGAGTAGTTTGTACCTAATAAAAATAAACAAATACCTACTAGTACTTTTAGAATTTCGGCTAGTTCAGTGATTCATCCCACAACACGTTCGTCCCACTGGGACGAAACACTGAATTCAAAAAAATATATATTTTTCGTTCTGGCTTCGTCCCATTGAATTTATTCCTTTTAAAATTTAAATACAGACATTGTTAACAAATTCATGTTTTCTTTTATTTTATTGACTTTCTGACGGTACTAAATCTCATTATGTTAAAGAATAAATTCAATGGGACGAATAAAGAACAAAAAACAATTTTTTTTCATTCAGTGTTTCGTCCCAGTGGGACGAACGTGTTGTGGGACGAATCACTGAACTAGCCAGAATTTCATTTCATGCCCGTTTACACTGAAAACTAGGCTGAAACATAGTAAACCTTATCCTGTTTTTGGAACGGCAAAAAAGGCAGTATAGCCAAAATAAATGCTGCAGAGCTGAACATTTTTGCCCCAATTCCAGTCTAGTTTACACTGTGAAGCGAAGTGAACACGTTCGTACCGAGTGACCTCAACTTCAAACTGTGAAGGTTGCAGGTAACTAGGGACTCATTGATCTATCTACCCATTAGCAGTTTGAGTTTCTGGTAAACTGAACCTCTATTAACTTTTAGTATCGCTTAATATTTACCTAACTTCCCGCCAGTGACCAGTTTCTATTACAAAATGGCTAAAATGAACATTATAATTGAGTAGAAAATATGCCAAACTGTTCTTTGAACCGCCCAGGTACTACATTAACTGTACTCTTGGAAATGTTTTAACCCTTTTAACAGTTATAACTTAATCAAATTTTTCATTATTTTTAGACCTGAAGACAGCGAATAAGGTTCAAAATATGGTGGGAACTATATTCCCACTGCCTGTACTGTCTTCTGTCACCAAAAACATTTTCATGTAAAATGTTCCAAGACAAGACCATATTCGCACTGTGAAAAAGTTATCTGGGGGCGTAGTGTGAGATTACTTCAAACGCATTCAGTATCGACTGCGTAAAAAAGTGACATTAAATGTATGACGGATTGTAGAGCGGAAATTTTCAAGAACTAAAATCCTCACATATTTTTTTAACGCAGTTGATATCGAATGCATTTGACCGAAACTCACACTACGCCCCCAGATCTTATGTAGAGCCAAAAATCTAACTCAACACGGTACACGCCCTAACTAGTCAAAATATGTCGTTTCGCTATCGTCACAAATTAATGTGCTTATTAAGATGACACATTTACTATCCAATCATTATGTTTCTATATTGCATTAAAGTATAGATTTGAATATTGTAAGTCCGCCTGGCTAGCTACCACCATCTTACCTAAGTCTGTCGCCATAACAACAATGTTAACAGCATTGT